ACCTTTGCTTGGGTCTGCTGAGGGACTTGAAGAATGGAGCAGTCCTTGCCTCAGTTTCCTTTTCATCCCAGCGGGAGGCCTCTCAGTTCTAAATTTCTGGGGGCTCTTGAGGAATGTTGATTTGAGGGGTTTCCTAGGAAACCTAGGGTTTTCCTAGGGTAGATGGCCATTGGCCCCGCCCCCCCATTGGCTAGCTGTAGAAGTTTGCCTCTCTGGTATTTTTTTTGAATGTCAGAGTCATCATTTCTTGGGAAGCTGCCTGATCTGTAATATGCTGCCGATGCTTCTCAAGTGTGTGGAACCCTAGGGGAAAATGTGCATGGACACAGACAAATGTCCGCGCAGCACAGCACCTGCCCAGCTTGTGGGGGTGGCAGGGAGAAGTGAGTGTGTCGAGCCCGCCCAGAAAGTAAACTGGGCACCTTGTTTGTTCAGTAATTTTAGTTAACATGACGAAGAATGTCTAGCACTAATGGGTGTGTGTCCCAGTTTGCTTGTTTCTTTTGAATATACGTTTATATTATGGCAACTTATTTTCTGTGTGTGAGGAAACCTCTAGAGGAGCATTAGGTGCAGAGCAGGGTGACTCCTGGAACCTTCTCCCAGGTTCTTTGGCAGGAGCAGTGGGGACAGGTCGGGTGAACAGTGTGCGCCACAGCATCAGAAACACTGAATCCAGGAAATCTTCGTATCACTATTAAAAGGCATTGTTTAGAGTTTCTGGGGAGGCTTTGGCCCCATGTCAGCTGTCATGTTGCATAGATCAGGCTGTAAATCTCGGTGGAGGTGAGGAGTGAGAGGCCTTTGCATGGAGGGGGATCCAAGTTAAGGAGGAAGGTAGGGGTGGTGGGCACAGCATGTGTGGTGTAGAGGGATCAGCAGGCAGTCTTGGCCCCTCCTAGGACAGTGGGAGATGAGACTTGGAGGTGCAGTCACAGGATACAGGAGTGATCTTTGCAGCGAGCAGCTCCGAACTCACCTGAGGTGTTCAGATACAGCGGAGAAGCACAGCTCTTGGGAAACCAAATGGCTTCTAGGGGAGGGCAGGACGACACAGAGGCAGCTGTGTGGGCTCCGTATTCTTGGCACTCTGGCCCAAGGTGGCTCTGATGTGAGCATCCGGGGCCTGCAGGCCATATTAGTAGGGGCGCCGGGTGGCCTGGCAGGGGATTGGTTGGCATTCTGCCCTCCCCATTGAGGTCCTGCAGCCTCCTTGGCCTCTCCTCCTGCCTTTCAGCTGTTTCTCCTTTCCCTTCTTATTGTTTCAACCTGTCCCTCCCTTCTCATTCTTTTGCTTTTATTTACCCCTTTCTTCCTTCCCCCTAGCATGTGCTTAAAGACTTCTAGGACAGGCAGATATGTGTGTGGCTTCATCACTTACTATAGACGCTGCTGCAGGGCCTTTTGTGAAATGACCACTTGGGAGAGAGCAGTCCCTGTGCTGTGAGTTTACCAAGACAGCCTTTGTGGATTGGAGACTTTGAAATTGGGATGCCTTGATGTTTATGGATAAACGTCATTATTTTACTGATGTATTTGGGGAAGATATTTTACTCTCCTTGAAGCTCATCTTCTCACTGGAAAATTGAATGACACTTTTGACTTGGTTTCACTGGAATCAAGATCTGTTTTTAGTTCATCAAGTCATAGTCACTGCCCTATTGAGATATAAGGCATCAGTAACAATGTTTCATGTATGGAGAGAAGACCCAGGTGCCCTCTCATTGTCCTTGAGGTGCAGTGGTGCTCAAAATCATGGTGAACACTTGCAGCCTTGAAGAATCATAAGGACAGTGACCATCATTGGCTGAGTGGGTAGTGTTGGAAGATCAAGTTCACATTGTTTGGCTGGTTGGAGCCCACACATAATACCTGGATATTTGGTTATTCCTGTTCTTCAGCATTTGAGGGACCTGTAGCTGAGAGTTTTGGCAGGATGGAAAAGACCTTTAACTAGGGGTATTGCCCTCTTGCATTCAGGGCAGCGTGCCGTTACCAAACTTTTGTGTTTAGTCCCGAACCTGTTGCCACCCCTGCCCATGATTCCTTGCTGTCCTGCCTCCTGCTGGTTCAACTGGCAGGTGGTGGTGTATGTTTGGTGGCATTGATTCAGCAACTCAGATACCCAGTTTCTGTGGACTTTGTTTTATTGATTTCCTATGAAGGAAGGAATTCTCAGTGAAAACACTTACCTTTAAAAAACAGAAGTTACTTTGCAAGGGGGAGGACACGACTTTTGTTTATCAGAGGGGCAGGAAAGGAGCAGATGGGCTAAGAGGGTCCCAGTCATCTCCCCTTTCCAGGAAGGAAACTTTGCTGCTTTGGTCCAGCTGCTTTCTTGCTCCGTAATCCTTGATGATCAACTTGGCAGAGGAAAGCAAATTCCAGAACATTCTCGATGACTTGCTGATCATATGATGTGGTCATAATAAATACTAGTTATTTATGACCAAGGATGATCCAGTGTAAATTCCTTCTAACATTGTGGGTGTTAGTAATTATTGAAGACGTGGGACTCAGATAACATCGGATCTTTGCTTTTTGCAGCTGAAAAAGAGGTTGAATGGAATAGCGTGGGGATCCATCAGTTCTGATGTTGAGTGAATCTGTGGTTCTAGGATGCTGGGAGTGGAGTGGTAGGTGGTCTGAGATTTGGGGCCAAACTAAACTCTCTTTTCTCTCTCTCTCTATTTCTCTTCCTTTCTCTGTATCCAGAGTTCCAATTGTTTCTGTTAGTCACTCAGTTTGGCTGCCTCCTGACTTAAACTGCCTTGGGAGACCTGATCTGAGAGTCTTCAACCAAGTTCTCAATGTTTTCCAACTTTGTCCTTCACTTCTTAGCCAAATGATTGTCCTTTGGAGAAGAGCATTCTGTGAGTCTCTCATACCACGGGGGCGGAGCTTTCTTAAAGGCAAGACTGTAAATGTTTTCATCCTTGCAGGCCATAGGGTCTCTGTTGCAACTACTCAACTTTGCCCTTCTAACACAAAAGCAGCCTCAGACAATACATAAATAAATGAGTATGGCAGTGCTCCAAGAAAACTGTGTTTACAAAAGCAAGCTGTGGCTGGCTTGGCCCCTGGGCCAAGGTTTGCTGGCTCCTGCTATGGGCTGAGGCCCTTGCCCACCATATCTGTGTGGGGCCCTGTTTTGCTGTGTACTTAAGAGCCCAATGGATGCTGCACAAGGGTGGGGACTTTGTCCTATCTCCTGTCGATTCCTGAGTACCTAGCACCAAGTTTCGCTCGCGGTAGGTGTTCAGTAAATAGTTGAAACATAACCTGCTTGTCAGTTGGGATTTTCTTGCAGTCCGTGTTTTGGGGGTGTATTTGTCCATGTTCAGCCAGATTCCTATTTTCTTTTGTGTGGTTATCTCTGTGTTTGTGAACTGCTTAACAGCTGAGCTCTTGGCTTGTGTGTCTTTGGAGGGGCCCCATTTGGGTGTCCTGGGACCCCTGTGTTGGCTGGTGGTGAGGGGTGGGATTTGTTGGGCCAGATGCTTCTTCAATAGTGGGACTGGAACATGAATTTATTTGAATCATATGGATGATTTGACCTTTGGAGTGGGTGCTGGGCAAAACAATTGCCTTGTGATGCCACCCTAGTTTGGAGCCATCCCAGTACTAGGCAGGAAGCTTTGTGTTTTCTGGGCCTGAGACTCCGTGTACCATTCACAGCTCTCCCCGTGGGGATGAAAGCGTGTTTCACAGACCCTCGTGGGCACCGAGGCCAGCAGCTCTGGCTATTCTTCTTAAAGGTCAATGGGCTCCTCCTACCTCTTTTTGGAGCAGTTGTATGGGCTGGATCTTCTTGGGCCCCATCCTGCACCACATATTTGGGAACTGTTATGTTCAATGTGGTCACCTTCCCTGTATTTGCTGAATAAGCCCTGGGATGGAGGTAGTGGGACACAGAGACCCTTAAGACCTGGGCCCTGTTCTGGGAGCCTGGTATCTCTTTGGGGAGACAGGACACACTCTTAAAATATGTAAACCCCAGAGCTGGGGAAGCAGGCAAGTGTAGGCTGAGATCAGTTACTTCTGGCCAGGTCACTGATGCAGTGTAGCTTGTCATGCTGGATTTAAACCTCGAAGAATGAGTTAGTTTTAGCAGGAAAGGGAAAAAGGAAGGGTAAAGAAGAGAAAGGCATGGGATGTAGAGGAGGCTGAGAATCCCTGGATGTGTGTGGTGGGCTTGGTGGGCAGGGTAGCCTTGGCTTTATGTGGAGTGAGGGGTGTATAGCATTCATCATTGTTACAAGATTTGTTTGCACTCAGAGGAGACTGCTTTTCAGCTGTTAGGACATTTTGCTGTTTTTTGGGGTTAGGGCCTCTAGGCTTTTATCATTTTGAAGGACAAAACAGCATGTTCCAATTCACCCAGCACAGAATTAAGTTTCCCAACCAGCACAATACTGATCTAATCCTGAGTGTGCATGAAAACTCCTGACAGAGAAGCAGTTCATGGAAGGATCCATTCCATTCCCTTGAATTTGAGACATTTCATTTTAAGCAACTTGGCTTTGTGACAACAGATCAAGTATAGCACAAATAATTAGATAAGTAAGAATATATGTGAGGCACACATACATTCACAATGAATGAGCAAAGTTGTGAAACCCAGTGTTTTTATGAATAAAAAGTTCTACAGTAATGGGATTTCCCAGGGGCTACAGTACAAGAAGGCCTTGGTTTGGCAGTTGACGTAAACATTTTTTTGCAGAATGTCTTTCCACACTGGGTGTTGGTGTGGACACTGAGGCGGGCCAACTTTTGAGGGTGTTTGAGGGTGTTTTGAGGGTGTTGCCGTGCTCAACTGTACCCTGTAGGTGAGGGCTGTGTCCTGGTGTCATGGAGTGCAGGGAGAGGTAGTTGCTGGGGCCATTTGCAGAGCTAGAACAACTTCTCCTGGGAATGAATGGGCCTCCACTGACCTTTGTTGGACATTTTCTCCTCTCCCTCTTTCCCACCTGTCTATCTTCTCTCCCGCCTTTCTGCAGAGCCACCAACCAAATACCAAATCTCTCAACCAGAAGTTTACGTGGCTGCGCCAGGGGAGTCACTAGAATTGCGCTGCCTGTTGAAAGATGCCGCCATGATCAGTTGGACTAAGGATGGGGTACACTTGGGGCCCAACAATAGGACAGTGCTTATTGGGGAGTACTTACAGATAAAAGGCGCCACACCTAGAGACTCCGGCCTCTATGCTTGTACTGCCTCTAGGACTGTAGACAGTGAAACTTGGTACTTCATGGTGAATATCACAGGTGAGTTGGCTTGCGAGAGTTATATTCTCTCTTCTTGGGAGCCATTTTCTGGGAAGAATTTTTTCAGCCAAGTGAAATCATAGTGAGGCTTGTCACTGGGCTGTGAGGCACATCACCTCAGATTTTGCTGTTGATCTTTTTTATTTTTAATTATTTTTTAAGACAGGGTCTTGCTGTGTTGCTACACAAGTCTCAAACTCTTGGGCTCAAGTGATCTTCCTGCCTCAACCTCCCAATAGCTGGTACTGTAGGTGTGTACTACACACCCAGCTGATCCTGATCTACTTTTAAAATTCTTCCCTGGAGTCCAATGCATCAGAAAAGCTGATCATTACAAATGACAGAGAACTCCTGCAAAAGTAACATTGCCTTTTTAAAACAGAACACTTTTTATTTAAAATCAATTTTTTTCCCTCTGTATCGGCAATATCCTTGGCACTTAGAATATAGGATTGAAATTTGAAAGCTCCAGATTTCTGATTTCTTTATTAAAAATTTGAATTTCTTTCCTCCATGCACTGAGAAGGCCCAAACAGGCCCCCTTTATGGGGAGTTTAAAGTTCTGTTTCAGATCACAGGTAACTATCAGAAGCACCACAGATGGGCTAGGTCTTGTTAAGGACTAATTCTGTTCTTGAAGGGGATCCAAATGCTGAAAAGTTTTGTTGGAAAAAATTTTTTTTTTTTTGCTATTATACAGTCAGTAAATTTGTTGGAGACTTGAATTTGTTTAAAGCTTAAAATCCAATTCCAGTATATCCAATTTTATAGCATGTTTAAATAACGTGAAAGCAGAAAACATTGAGAATCATAATAGAGACCAACTGTCATCATGGAGAGACACTTTAAGCCATTAAAACCGTCTTAACCAAACATGGTCTGAGACTTTCCTTGTGGGCTTCTGGGTTGTTGAATTCACTTTGGAGAAAGGCTGGCTTAGTTGTAGATAATCGCAAACCTTGACTTTGTGAAAGCACATCCATGGATATGTTCTTCTGTACACAGATGCCATCTCCTCTGGGGACGACGAGGACGACACAGACGGCTCTGAAGATTTTGTCAGTGAGAACAGTAACAACAAGAGTAAGTAACCGCCCACCTCTGAAGGTCCTCGAGAAGGGGAGTCCTGGCTGTCACCTGTCTTCTGTCAACTCTTCGGTGCCATGTTGTGTCCCGTGGCCCTTGTTGTCCCCTGCTGTTTCTACTGTCCCAACTTTCAAACTGACGAATAAACCAGTGCTGCTGTCCACCCTTTTCTACTGCTCGTCTTTTCTTCTTGTGTCACTCTGTTCAAACCGAGTACTTTCTTTCCTTGGTTTTCCTTTTCCCTTTGGTTTTTCACTGTTTGGAAACATAACACTAGTAGGACCATGTACCATCTTTGTTTTTTGGATAACCATCGATTGGTTGTGCTTGACTTAACCCAGTGGTTCTTGACCATTGTCGATTGCCTACCCCCACTCCTCTAGAACATGTGGTAATATCTGGCTGTCACATTTGGGGAGGGTACCAGTGACATCTCACAGGCAAGAACCAAGAGTGCTGCTGGTGAATGTAGTGTCTTACAATGTGCAGCTTAGCTCTAGTGAAAGAAAATTATCTTGTCTAAAATGTCAGCTGAGGCTGAGGAGTCCTGGCCTTCTAAAACATGTGCCTCATGTATGAGGAAATAAGGAAAGTATTTCTTGCCTTGTAGTCAGGAATGGGAAAGGGGCCTAAGGGTTGTCTGTTTATCTTAAGGCGGTTAACTGTGAGCACTAACACTTGAGAGGTTGTTTCCTTAGTGGGTAAGAAAGTGGCTGGCCTCTTGGAGCTGGGCAGCCTAGATTTGAATTGTACTTCACCACTTCTCAGTTGCTCGTTTAACTTCTGTGCTTGTTTCTTAAACTGTAAGATGGGAATAATAATAATGATAATGTCTTCTGCGTTGTTATGAGGATTAAATGAGTTAGTACTTGTGGGCTTGTGAATGCTTGCTTCATGAGGAAAATAAAGTCCCGCCCCCGTCGCATCCACCAATGACGTGACTGGAATTTTCCCACAAGGATGGCACATTGGTCATTGGGATTCTGTGCTTATGTGGCGTATTTTACATTTTCTCAAAGGGATTTTTGTTAGTTAAGCACATGTAAGCAAGGCCTAAATCATTAGATAATTATTAAAGTAGGCACAGGTGTTTTTAAAAAACAGACTTTTAATGATCAGTTTGAGGTTTATAGGAAAATTAAGGGGAAGCTACAGAGATTTCCCATGACCTCTTGTCCCCACACAGAGACAACCTCTCCCATTGTCCACACACTCTCCAGGCTGTGGTATATCTGCTACAGTTGATGAACCTACATTGGTACATTATAATCACCCAAACTTTACCATTTATGCTGGGTTCATTCTTAGCGTTGTACTTTCTGTGGATTTGGACACATGGAAAATGACCTGTAGCTACCACTGTAGTACAGAGTAATTTTCACTGCCCTACAAATCTCTGTGCCCCACTTATTCACGTCTCCCTCCGTACCAAACCTTGGCAACCACTGATCTTTTTATTGTCTCCAGAGTTATGTAGAATGTCATACAGTTGGAATCAGACACTATATAGCTTTTTCAGATTGGCTTCTTCTATTTAGTACTATGTATTTAAGTTTCCTCTTTGGCTTTCATAATAATCTTTCTTTTTAGCACTCAGTACTATTCCCTTGTCTGTAGGTGCCACAATTTATTTACCTACTTTAAAGGAGTCCTTAGTTGCTTCGAGTTTTAATAATTATGAATTGAGCTGCTACAAGCACCTGTGTACAGGTTTTTGTTTAGATGTAAGTTTTCAGCTCTTTGGACAAATACCAAGGAGCATGATTATTCGGTGATATAGTAAGAGTGTTCAGATTTATAGGGAATCGCCAACCTGCTTTCCAAAGCAGACCTGCAATTTTGTATTCCCACTAGCAGTGAATAAATACCTATTGCTCCTCAGACTCACCAGTGTCTCCTGTTGTCAGTATTCTGGAGCTTGGACATTATAGTAGGTGTGTAATGGTAACTCTTTGTTTTAATTTATATTTCCCTCATGATGGATGATGTAAAACAGTCTTTTTATCTGCTGTGTGTCTTCTTTGGTGAGGTGTCTGTTACCCTTTGGCTCATTTTTTTTAAGTGGGTTGTGTTCTTATTGGTTTGTAAGAGTTCTTTCTATATTTTGGATACAGTCCTTTGTTTTTGGAAAATATTTCCTTTGGTCTGTGGCTTGTCTTTTCATTTTTTTGACAGTGTCCATCACAGAGCAAAATTTTTAATTTATATCAAGGACCAGTTTATCAGTTCTTTCAAGGATTATACCATCGGTATCACATCTGAAAAGACTTCAGCAAATCCCAACTCTTTGTTGTCTCATAGGAGTTTTATGTTTTACATTTAGATCATGGTTGTGATCAGTTTTAAGTTAATTTTTATAGATTCTGTATCTAGATTTTCTGTGAATATCCACTTGGTTCTGCATCATTTGTGGAAAAAATATTTAGCCCTAGGGCTTTTAAAAAATGTTAGTACACATTTGCTATATGTGAAGATTACATCTTAGGAAGCAGTTTCACGCACTTAACACTACTCTATTCCCTTCCCCTCCCTACCCTCCTTCCTACTTTCACTTCTTAATTATTTGCCCCCATTTTCATTATTGTTGCTAAGGAAGAGATGATGGATGTTATTAGGTACCTGGGATGAATGTGTTAAAGACAGATCTGTCCCTGAGTCTCCTGGTAGCCTGGGAAAATGGAAATATTTTGATTTAGATAAGCTTTTACTTTTTGGCGAGATGAAGCTTGGAGTAGAGGTTCACAAAGCGCTGTCCCACATCCACATCGCTTGGCATCTTGTTAGAAACTGCAATTCTCAGACCCACTGAGCAGAAACCGAGAGTAACCAAAGTGTGAAAACCACTGGCTCAGGGTGCACATAAGATCCTCCCTGAATGGGAGTTTACCATTAGTTGTCTTGGCCATAAAAGAGCAAGTGATAAGGTGAGTGAATATGTCTTCTATGATTGGAACCAGCCTTCTGAAGGGACTAGTACTAACAATCATGAGCACTGGTACAGCAGAGCATGTTGCTTGCATCTTCTTTGGCTCTGGCACGAAGCTGGAGGCGGAGAAGCTGAGGGCCTGTGCCGACAGACTTCGTGCTGACTGCTGGCTCAGTCCCCACCACCAGTCACCTGGGAAGGTGGGCAGAGCAGTTCCTCTGAAAACTGTGACTCAGTGACCAAAGGCAGAGCTTTGGGTCAGGCTCATTGCTTGTGGGTGTCCCAGGGTCATGCTGGGGGCAGAATGAGAATGTCTGCCAGTGTCAAACGCCTGGCCTGATTAATAGGGAAAATTGCAGAAGCATACGTGGGTTCCTGGGTTTGGCTGGCCTGGTGGTCACGTGCCCTGCCTGGGTGCGCATCGTGGCGGGCCCCCAGGAAGTGATGGACTGTGCGGCGGGGCAGGTGTAGGTTATGCAGCTGCCAGGCTGAGTGGAGGGCATCGCTCTCTGCTGGCTCAGGAGGCTGGTCCACAGTGCACTCTCGGTCTTGCCTGCGCTACTTGCCTGACTGCCCCGTGCCATGTAGCAGGGCCAGGCTGAAGAGTGCCGCATGTCACAGTAGCTGGCCAGTACTGCATTTGCCATGCTTTCACCTTGCAGGCGGGGCTTTTTGTAATTAGCTCTCAAATGGCACCACCTCTGTCCCGAAATGAGTGCTGTGCTGTGATTAAGGGCTAGTGTTAGCTGTACCAGGGAGATACTGCTGTTGGGAGATGCCTCTGTTTGGTGCCTGTGAAACATTAGATGCTATTTAAAGTGATAGCAGTTCTTAGCTGGCTACTTGGCCTCTGCCATCTGTTAGTGTGATTAGGCTGGTCTGATTCACAGGTGGAGCCTGGGGCTGCTGAGATTAAGCAGCTGTGGCCTGTGTGGACAGAGAAATGCCATGGCTGGGGTAATTGGCAAGGCAGGAAAGGGGATGTTGCCACTAAAACAATTTTTTGCCACCTCATGTGTCAAATACCTGACCCAAAGAGTAGGGAAAATTGCAGAAGCTCGGAATTTTTTACATTTTCAACCATCTGGAAACACCCACATGTTCACATTGGTTCCTTTGATGCCTTTTGATTGCATGGAAATGCCTCTGGGGTGTACTTCAATGTTCCTCTTTAGGAAAGTTAACAAGGCATACACTGGTGCTCCTGTGCTAGCAGCAACATTTGGGGGGCTGCTTTGCTAGGGAGATTGTTTTTCTCATTGCATATAAGACATTGCATTTTTCTGTATCTTCTAGCTTGAAGAAAACATATTGCGGGTGATTCCTTTTGCTGATATGCTAGATTGCTGTCTATCTAATCGTGGTGGTTACAAATAAGAAGGCGAGCTTATCTGCCAGGTACAGATCTTTCTAGTTCTCTATAGAATATAGAAAACTCAGTAGCCAAATACAGTGGCAAAGACAACATCGATAATTAAAATGAGGGCCTTGGGTTGATACCAGCACTAGGTGGAAAGGTACTGTGTGCAACACTATCTAGTATCTCAAGGTCTGCCTTTCTCAGTAGACTGTTTACTTCTTGAGGGCAAGAACCAGTCTTGAGGCTGAATGGATGTTTTGTGAAATTATAGGGTTTACATGCATCATTTATGGATCTTATTAAAAATGGAACAGCAGTGTTCAGGTCTGGTTTGTACATGCAGAAGGTAAGCTAGTGTTTCTCAAAGAGTACTCCCTGGTACCCTGTTTCAGAATAATTCACCATCAAAAATGAGTTTTTATTTTGAAACAAATCTGGGAAACACTGCATGCAGTGACCCTTTCTTGACGATAATGTAATGTCCAAAAGCTTAGTATAACTTCTGAGGAGTTCTACAGAAAAACAACTACTTCATTTTACATTTTCCAAACTTACTGAATGTAAGACTCTTAAAAATACAGAATCTGCCAAAAGAATTGTATACATCAGGCAGAGAAAATCCTTATAAATATTTTAATACTATATTTATTGAGACATCATGAGATTAATAATACAAGTTACCTGTGGCCTCTGCAGTTACAAGAGGTGCTC